TGGGCTGGGTCACAGTTTGTTTCTCATAGGTTCTGATGACAGAATTTTAAAAGATTTAACAGGCTGGGCATGGTGGCTCATGCCTATACTCCCAGCATTTTAGGAGTTGAGACAGGCAGATCACCTGACGTCAGAAGTTTGAGACAAGCCTGGCCAACATGGTGAAACCCCGTCTATACTTAAAAAAAACAAAACCAAAAATTAGTCAAGCATGGTGGCAGGAACCTGTAATCCCAGCTACTTGGGAGGGTGAAGCAGGAGAATTGCTTGAACCTGGGAGGCGGAGGTTGCAGTGAGCTGAGATTGCGCCATTGCACTCCAGCCTGGGAGACAAGAGCAAAACTCTCTCAAAAAAAAAAAAAAAAAAAAAAAGATTTAACATTAATTCATTTGAAATTTGGGCAGCTAACAGTCAATATCAAGCATTCCACTGTTGAGAGCCTAAGAGAGAATCTTGTTCATGTGGGGAGACCTCTGAGACCCTCAGTTGCATTATCGTGGCGCTATGCTCATCTCCAAGCCCATCAGTTCAGCAGCCCGTTTGAAGCTAGGCGAGGCAGCTTACACAGCCTGGGGACTCTTTGTACTTTTCAATATTGTCCAAGGGAAGCCTAGACAGACTTCACATTTTGTTAAGTACAGCTAGGTTCTGTCCACAATAAAACAGAACTAGGACAACTGTTTTGGAAACATAGTTAGCACATAATTGTAGCTAATTTAGTTTCTTTCTCTGAAACAGCATGAAAAGAAATTTGTTTTTGTACAAAGATGTTTTTAACTTCTGTAGCCCACGGTTTACAACAGAGTGTCCTCGCTCCTTCCCTCTGCTGCAAATATATGTACCTACATAACATGCACACACTGTTTTTTTTCTAGCCTAAGCCACTATCCACCCCTGCTGTTCTCTTTGTGGGGATTTCTTCAAGCATATTTAGAAACAAAAACACTTGCTGAGCCCAACTCCTGCCTCACTGCTGTATCCTGGTTACAGGAGACATCAGTTCCCCAAACGTTTTCTTTCACCTATCTGTTGGGAAACCACCTAAGCATATACGAGGAAGAAAAACTATTCAGAACAAATGTTGGCTGTGAGTACTTGTGTCGTTTTCTTAATTGGTTGACATATGCTTTCATTGAGATTTGGTGGGAATCAAAAGTACACCTTTAAAAGAATCCTGGCCCTTACTTACACTCCATACAAAAATAAACTCAAAATAGATCAAAGACCTAAATGTAGGAGCTAAAACTATAAAACTTAGAAGAAAATACAGGGGGGCAAAGTTTCATGGTCTTGGATTTGGCAATGATTTTTTTGGACAACCTCAAAAGCACAGCAACAAAAGAAAAAGTAAAGTAAACTTAATCAAAATTAATAACTTTTGTGCACCGAAGGACACTGTCAAGAAAGTGAAAAGGCAACCCATGGTGTAGGAGAAAATATTTGCAAATCATGTCTGATAAGGAAGCCATATTCAGAATATATAAAGAACTACAACTTAATAACAAGCAAACAAGCTAACTTTAAAATGGACAAAATAGTTGAATAGATATTTTTCCAAAGAAGATACACAATATACATCTGCAAAGATATACAGTATACATCTGCAAAGACCCTTGAAAAAATAAAAAAAGAACCTGATGACTATGTGTCTAAGTGATAAAAAAAAAAAAAAAAGAAATAAGAAAAAATAAAAAAAGAAGATACACAGATGCCCCATAAGCACATGAGAAGATGCTCAACATCATTCATCATTAGGGAAATGAAATCAAAGCCACCATGATCTACCACTTCACACTCACTGTGATGGCAATTATCAAAAAAACAAGTGTTGGTAAGAATGTGGAGAAACTGGATTGCTTGTGCATTGCTGGGGGGAATGTAAAATGGTGCAGCTCCTGTGGAAAAAGGTAGGTGATACTTCAAACATAGAATCATATTAAACAGAAGTACCACATGAGCCAGCAACTTCTCCTGATGCACAGAGCAAGAAATGAACCTAAGTGGTAATAATGAATGTTCAGTGAATGAATGTAGGCCTCACATATCCTCTTCCCATAGAGAGATGGGAGGGATTGAGGCTGATAAGTAATAACAGATTTGGTGGCACTGTCTTCTACTTTAGAGAACTGATACTGGATAAAGATGGGGTAGGGAAAGGGGAGGGAATAGGCCTTTATTAGGTTGGTGCAAAAGTAATCGTGGTTTTTGACGTTACATTTAATGGCAAAAACCGCAATTACTTTTGTACCAACCTAAATATTTTTTGAATCTCTATATAAAAATATTTCTGGTTTTAAATCTTCTTAAATTGTTAATCCTCGGTTTTTACATGTGCCCTGTGAAATGCACATTGTCATATATGATGCATGGGATAGTGGGAAGGTAGGTATAATTTGCTGTTTCTGAAACAGTTGAACAATATCAAGAGCTTTACAGTGTTCGTTAAATAGTCTATTCTCATTAGCCCAGTGATTCCATTTATAGAAACGTATAATCAAATCCCCAAGCAAAGATTTACACTCAAATCTGTTTACTGCAGCGCTACGTGTAACACAACGCAATGAACATAACAGTATATATTTACATGTAGTGTGATAAACACAACTATTCAATGGTATAAAAATGATCAACAAATTGTGGATAACCACAGCTTAGAATACCTGTTTAATGTTCTCAGCTATTTTAACTTTGCTAAATAATGTTTAAAGATAATCAGTAGGCTTGGCACAGTGGCTCACAACTGTAATCCCAGCACTTTGGGAGGCCAAGGCCATGTGGATCATGAGGTTAGGAGTTCAAGACCAGCCTGGCCAACATGATGAAACCCTGTCTCTACTAAAAATATTAAAAAATTAGCTGGGTGTGGTGGTGGGTGCCTATAATCCCAGCTACTCAGGAGGCTGAGGCAGGGAATTGCTTGAACCCTGGAGGCAGAGGTTGCAGTGAGCTGAGATCGTGCACTCCAGCCTGGGCAAAAGTAAGACTCTGTCTCAAAAAAACACAAAATATAAAGCCATGTGGCAGTCCCCCCTCATCTGAGGAGGACATGTTCCAAGACCCCCAGTGGATGCCTGAAACCTCTGATAGTACCAAACTCTATATATACTTTTTCCTATGCGTATTTACATACATAATATATATCTATGATTAAGTTTAATTTATAAATTAGGCACAGTAAGAGATTAACAATAATAAAATATAACAGTTATAGCAATACTCTAATAAAAGTTATGTGAGTGTGGTCTCTCTCTCTCTCTCTCTCAAAATATCATACTATACTCCTCTATTTTTGGAATACAGTTGACCACAGGTAACTGAAACCGAGGAAAGTGAAAGATGGGGCGACAACCACTGCATATGAAAATTAAACAACCGAGCAAAATCGGAGTAAACACACCACGTTAATTGTGGTTATATTTGGGTTGTGGGATTATGGGTAGATTTTGTTACATTTTTCTATAATTTCCAGATTTTCTTCCATTAGTATACTTTTATAAAGTGAAAAAAATTACAATTAAAAAAATTTAGCTCTCTGAGTCCCTGAATTCAATGGACTAAATCCAAAACCCAGCCTGAAGGACATTAAGACAAGGTACCTGTTTTCTCTCACAGGGATTGTTGGGCACATCAGTGTCGCCAGCAGCCCCTCCCTGACACGCCAGTATCTACTGTCTCCACCTTCTGGAGCTCTGTGAGCGCTGTTGCTAGGGCGAAGGAGGGCGGGGTCCGAGGTCAGGGTGAGGCTAGTCTTTCTTTTATCTTCCCTTCCTAGCACGTATAGGATCATCATCCATAGAATAACCTCACTTGCCAGATCCATAGAAAGATCTTGGCTTAGCTGGGCGACGTGACTCACAGCTGTAATCCTAGCACTTTGGGAAGCTGAGGTGGGCGGATTGCCTGAGCTCAGGAGTTCGAAACCAGCCTGGGCAACACGGTGAAATCCCGGCTCTACTAAAAATACACACACACAAAAAAAGCCAGGCATGGCAGCATGTGCCTGTAGTCCTAGCTACTCACGAGGCTGAGGCAGGAGAATTGCTTGAACCCGGGAAGCAGAGATTTGCAGTGAGCTGAGATTGCACCACTGCACTCCAGCCTGGGCGACAGAGTGAGACTCCACCTCTAAAGAAAAAGAAAGATCTTAGCTCATTGCAGCCTCCCCTTCCTGGGCTCAGTCTTACTTGGAGAAGATTAAAATGTTGTCAAAGTGCTTTTACATATGTTGTGATTCTTTGGACTGTCATGAATTGGGATGACAGTTATTTTTACCTTATATGACAGGCAAGGAAACAGAAAGTTAGACATGGTATGAGAACTGATCAAAAACATAAGATACTATCTACACCAAATCATAGTCTAGTTTGTACCAAGAACCCTTCCTGGTTCAGACAATCAAAATATAGTCTGAAACAGAGCTGACTGGCCGGGTGCTGTGGCTCATGTCTGTAATCCCAGCACTTTGGGAGGCTGAGGCTGATGGATCTCTTGAGGCCAGTAGTTTGAGAGCCAGCCTGGCCAACATGGCAAAACCTTGTCTCTAATAAAAATATAAAAATTAGCCAAGTGTGATGGTGTACTCCTATAATCCCAGCTACTTGGGAGACTGAGTCATGAGAATTGCTTGAACCTGGGAGTTGGAGGCTGTAGTGCGCCTAGATTGTGCCACTGCACTCTAGCCTGGGTAACAGAGTGAGACTCTGTCTTAAAAAAAAAAAAGAAACACAGTTGACCTCTTTTTTGGGAGGTTAAGAGGAAGATTTATAAGCAACACATAGTTATATCTCATCTCTTAAGCCACAAAGATGCAAAGTGTTAAAAGACAAAAAGGTTTATATTGTGGGTTCCAAATGACTTACCATGTTCTATACCACTAACGTTGCCACATGAACACACAACAGGTACACACTGTCTAAGCAGCAGGTATCTTGGCTGATAGGGCGAAAACTGAGGTTCTTGCTTAAGTGAAAAGGAAAAGGACCAGAGGAGGTATACTCACCAAACCACCAATTTGATTTGTATGGTCCTTTGTAAGATACAGAACGAGAGTAGACAGGCAAATTCAGGCAGCTTCCTTGGGATTTCTCTGTTCAACTTTTGGAGTGGCCTTTGAGGCAAATCCTAAGGGTTAAAAAAGAAATGGTTAGAAATATTTTCTATTTCAACGTAATTTTCATATATGCATTAGAAATCGGTGGGCCAGATCCTCTTATAGTTCATAAGCATAATGGTTAGAAATTGGGGGCCATTTTCTTCAAAAAATGAAATATCATTACTCTAATTATCATGTTCTCTACAAACCAAAAAGTGCAACTACTTATCTGATTCTTAAAGAAACAGAGAACAGTAACAAGAAAATGACCAATTTCTTCCATTTGTGTTTTTCTCTCTGCCTTCTTTAGAGTGTACGTAACTTCAAGATGCACAGAAGACTAAAGAAGGAATGCAGATGTAGCCTGTATTTATGCAAGAAGAGCTAATATCCTTTACAGAGATAATAGCATCTAGCTCATAGCTAATTTACAGGCTGATGCTACGCATCACTAATAGATCTTCACACTCTTTTCTGCAGGGTCCAGAGAAGGTTCTCAAAACCATTGAAGCAAGTACTCCAGCTATCCACTATCAATCAGACTTGGCATGAAAGAGACTTATTATTCTGCCCTCAAATATAGAATTAAGACTTTTTTTAAAATTTGTGAGATGGAGTTTTTCTCTGTTACCCAGGCTGGAGTGCAGTCGCACAGTCTCAGCTCACTGCCACCTCCACCTCCCAGGTTCAAGCGATTCTCCTGTCTCAGCCTCTCAAGTAGCTGAGATTACAGGTACCCACCACCATGCCTGGCTAATTTTTGTATTTTCTAGTAGAGCTGGGTTTCACCACGTTGGCTAGGCTGGTCTCAAACTCCTGATCTCAAGTGATCCACCCTCCTCAGCCTCCCAAAGTGCTGGGATTACAGGTGTGAGCCTGTACAGACTCTGTACTTGGCAGAGTCAAGACTCTTTCGAGGATGTTCTTTGCATGGAGAGGCCCATAAGAAATATGATTTGGGGTTTTAGGATAATCTTTAATAAGTAATGATATAGAAAATATTCAAATGAAAAGAATTTAAAATTCAAGATGAAGATATTTCAGATGAGGAATTAAAACATATCTTAAGCACAAAACTTTTATTTTTATTTCAACATGTGGAAATGTAATCTGCCTGATTTTCCAAACTATAGACAGCTCTCCTCAAGCCATCTGAAGCTCCAAATCACTTAGAAGATTCAATATGGCACAGTGGTTTCAACACCAGACTGGGAATGAGAAGTCTAATTTTAACCCCACCTCCGTTATTCCCTGTTCATTTCACCTGTCTGAGCCAAAGATTACTCCCATGGAAAAAAAAAATAAAGGAGGCCAGGCGCAGTGGCTCATGCCTGTAATCCTAGCAATTTGAGAGGTCAAATTGAACTCAATTTGGATTGTCCTCAAGTGGATCACTTGAGGACAGGAGTTCAAGACCAGCCTGGCCATGGTGAACCCTGTCACTACTAAAAATATAAAAAATTAGCCAGGTGTGGTGTCAAGCACCTGTAATCCCAGCTACTCAGGAGGCTGAGGCAGGAGAATCACTTGAACCTGGGATGCCGAGGCTGCAGTGAGCTGAGATAGTGCCACTGCACTCCAGCCTGGGTGACAAAGCAAGACTCAAAAAAATTAAATAAATAAAAATAAAAATAAAAAAAATAATAAAGGAGTTGAATTATCAATAGTTCTCAAAATTTAAAAAAAATCATCGTGTTTGTTTTTTCTTTGTTTTTTAGTTGTAGCACCCTTTCTTCCACCAAAAATCCAACTAGATGCAAAAACAACACCAATACAACAGGAGCTGGTTCACATATGGGTAGGGGATGAAGAAGGGAGGTGCCTCCAGTTCCATCATTCATTGCGTCCCTGTGCGGACACCATAAGACCTTTAAGACTCCATAGAGCACAGCTGGAACCCTTCTGGATTAAATGGCCTTTCATATCAGTTATAGCTCAAAGTTATTCTGCCGTAACTACCTTTATATTGGAATGACTGGGTGCTCATTGAGATCTATAACCTTATGGAAACACAAGCAATAACAACCATGACCTAGTTTTAATCTTGTTCAATGATCTTCTGAAAGAAAAAAGCCACACCCTCAAATAAATTATAGAGCAATAGCTGTTAAATGATTTACGTCTCAATACACTTAATCTTTACCCAACTCTGTGAAAAGATAATTCCCAAAATGCTGCATCCTGGATAATAACTAGTAATCAACATCATAGTGGCTGATAAAAACTATGAAAATAAATGCACAAAGTATAAGAAGGTATGTCTTGAAATTAATTGTACACTGTCAAGACAATAAAATAAAATTGACTCCTCCATCGCTCGCTCATCTGCTAGCTAAGTAAATCCAGACAAGTATATTTAACTTTCCTAAGCCTCAGTTTCCACATCTGTAAAGTAGAAATCATTCCTGGCAGGACGGTTGTGAAAAACAGAGAAAATATTTATAAAGCACAATTCTTGGCATATATTATTTGTAAAGAATTTAGAGTTTTCACTCTTTCTATAATGGTAAAATGTCTCTCTTTAAAATGTAATATCAAGGTAATGAGCATGTAAACTCTGAACTGAAAGCAAATTATTAATGTATAAATATAACACAGGATTCATGTAGTTTTGTGCTACATCATAAAAAGGAAAAGAAGGATTACGGATGTGATGGCTATTCACACAGGACATTTCCCCAAAATAAAACACTTAGGATTAATGTTTGTTTCCATAAAAATCTGACTTTCCAGAATAACTTCAAACACAATCTATTTCATATTTTTTTTTTTTTTTGAGACACAGTCCCACTCCATCACTCAGGCTGGAGTGCAATGGCATGATCTCAGCTCATGCAACCTCTGCCTCCTGGGTTCAAGTGATTCTCCTGCCTCAGCCTCCTCTGTAGCTGGAATTACAGGTACGCACCATGCCTGGCTAATTTTTGTATTTTTAGTAGAGATGGGGTTTCACCATGTTGGCCAAGCTGGTCTCCAACTTCGGACCTCAAGTAATCTGCCTGCCTTGGCCTCCCAAAGTGCTGGGATTACAGTCATGAGCGACCATGCCCAGCCAGATCCTTTCTTAAGATAAACCGATCGCCCTCACCCAAGGATGCTGGTACTTGGTTGGGGGCCTAAAGTTGCCAGGAGACCACCATGTTGAGGGTCAAATAACTGGGGTACAGTTCTTACTTTACCACCTGTACAGTTTGACCATGGGCATGCTATGTAACTTTCTGGGCCTCAGGTTGTCACCCACATACTGAAAGATCACCATTACAAGGATTACACAAGACATGACATTTGAAAGCATCTCATAAACTAACCATTAGCTCCTGCCTAGACTCCTACAGTAGACTCCCAGCTGGCTTCTCCCTTTCCATTCAGGCCTGATACAATCAATCTAGGTCTCCTTGCAGGTAAAGGGCCCTTTTAAAATACAAGCAGTTTGGCCGGGTACGGTGGCTCACGCCAGTAATCCCAGCACTTTGGGAGGTTGAGATGGACAGATCGCCTGAGGTCAGGAGTTTTAGTTCAGCCTGGCTAACCTGGTAAAACCCTGTCTCTACTAAAAATACAAAATTAGCAGTGTGGTGACCCACATCTGTAATCCCAGCTACTCAGGAGGCTGAGACAGAATTGCTTGAATTGAGGAGGTGGAGGCTGTAGTAAGCCAAGATTGTGCCAGGCACTCCAGCCTGGGCGACAAGAGCAAAATTCGGTCTCAAAATAAATAAATAAAGTATAATGTATATTATATAATATGTATAATATAATTTTCATATGTATTATATATTACATATAATAGATTATACTTTAATAAAATATGTAAATATAATACATTATCATACAATAAATATGATATATAAAATAACATCTATGTATTATACATCATATATTCTATTTATATTTTTATTTATATAGGTATTATACACACACACACACAATTTGGTTTTATCACCCTTCTGCTTAAACCCCTACGCTCTCCTTTCATTGCCCTTAGGCTAAGTCTGTATCCTTGGTAAGGTTCATAAGGCCTATAAAGAGAGTCCAGGTCCTCCTCCAGCCTCATCTTGTGCCACTTTCCCCCTTACACATGCTGTTTCAATGCTTCAGCCCTCACCAATTCCCCTGTCTAGCCAGTTTGCACTCATCCCAAACTTCGTTCCTTCTAGGAAGCCATTCCTGCAGTCCCCAGGGATATGTTCCAACGTCATATAATCCTTCATACAGCACTAGGTTGAATCATATGAAATGGCTATTTTGTAGGACTGCTGGCAATTTTCTTTGGTTTAGCCTTATAGTAACTGCTATAATGCTGGTCATCTTGAGTCAGTTCTAAACTCTACCAGGGAAGTTGACTCATACCTAGAATCCTAGAGTTCCACCCCTAATCCAAGCCAATAGTAGGCACTTAATTGTTTAATTAGCCTGAGGTGTTGTTACTACCTTTTTAATGCCAAGTATATAATTTTTATATTTTCATTAGTAGTTGAAAATCATGATTTTCGCTGGGTGCAATGGCTCATGCCTGTAATCTCAGCACTTTGAAAGGCCAAGGTGGGTGGATCACCTAAGGTCAGGAGTTCGAGACCAGCCTGACCAACATGGTGAAACCCCATCTCTACTAAATACAAAAAATTAGCCGGGCATTGTGGTGCATACCTATAATCCCACACAAGGCAGGAGAATTGCTTGAACCTAGGAGGCTGAGGTTGCAGTGAGCAGAGATCGTGCCATTGCACTCCAGCCTGGGCAACAAGAGCAAAACTCTGCCTCAAAAAAAAAAAAAAAAAAAAAAAAATTATGTTTTTCTTCAAATGCTGTTTTTACATTCCATAGGACTGAGATGAAAAAAAAAAAAAGGAATGAAAAAGAACCACTTTAATATTTTCATTTCTGGAAAGCATGAATTCTAGTAAGTGTAATAGATATAGACATAGATATAAAATTAATAATAGAATTTAGCCCACTGGTAAGGTGTCATTTATGGATTTTTTTTTCAGCTCAAATGTTTTTCACTGCTTGGAAGAATAAAGGAGCTCGC